AGGTAACAGGAAATAGTACACACACTCTACAAAGATATGAGAAGTCTGGTGCAAAAAGGAGGAATTATACTAAAGAAAAAGACAATCAAAAGATACTGTAGTGGCACCCCCCTCCTCTCCAAAAAATCTTAGCTAAGAGTCTCCAAAATCTTTACTATGGTTGATTTTAGGACTGTCAGCAAAAGAGTTCTAAGTCAAGTTAAAAACCAAAAATAAACCAAAATGACCAGGAATACAAACCATGTCTCAATAATAACTCTAAATGTTAATGGCCTAAACTCATCAATCAAAGACCTAGATTGGCAGACTGGATTAAAAAAAGACCCAACAATATGCTGCCTTCAAGAGACTCATGTCATAGGAAAAGACATTCACAGATTGAAGGTGAAAGACTGTGAGAAAACACACTACTCACATGGACTGTGTAAACAACAGGGGTTTCCATCCTCATTTCAGATAAAGTAGACTTCAAGCCAAAGTTAGTCAAAAGGGATAAAGTATTTCACACTGCTTAAGGGAACCATACACCAACAAGACCTAAGGATTATAAAGATATGGCACAAACAATGGAACATCTACGTTCATCAAACAAACTCTTCTCAATTTCAAGAGTCGAATAAACCACAACACAAAAGGTGTGACTATCAAACTTCTTTCACCACTGGATAGATCTCCCAAACAAAAACTAGAGAAAGAAACTATAGTACTCAATAATATAATCAATAATTTAGACTTAACAGACATATGGAATATTTCATCCATCAATGAGTGAATACACTTTCTTCTCCGCAGCAGCACATGGATCCTTTTCTCAAATAGGCCATACATTATGCCCCAAAGCAAATACAACAACAACAACAAAAAAAATAGAGATAATGTAATAGCACCCTCTCCTCCACAAAAAAATATTAGCTAAGCATCTCCAGAAATCTTCATCATGGTTGATTTTAAGACTGTCAGCATAAGATCTCTACAAAAAGTTCAATGTAGATAAACTTCCTATTTTCGTGTTGCCCTATTTTASTTGGCCACTAGTCTGGAAGAAATCAGCACTCCTGGTGCTGAACACACTCTTACTAGTTTTTTCACAAACATTTATCCAGTATAGTAGTTTGTAGAAATGTGTAAACAAGGCCTCTAGCCTTGAGCTGGAGCTTCACAGAGATGTCTACATTTCTAAGATAAGAGAAGTTTCCAACTGGGCTTTATGGTAACAGTTTGCAATGGAGGGAAAGAAGGGGGAAAAAGAAGCTCTCCCCTTCTCAGGTGTTGTCCTTGAAGGGTTAACCTGCCCAGAACAGTGAAAGAAAAAGCTGCTTTTAGGTGAACTTCTGCAAACTGTGAACTCCTGAGCCCCTCCCCTTACATGCTGGGTATAAAATTCTGAAAGTACCTGAACTTGGGGTTCAGGGGGGTTAACTGATTACAGTGAAAGCTGTGCCCTCTGAACCTGGCTGCAGCCAAATAAAACTGTTTCCTGCTACCTTAGGTGCCTTACCTCATTTGTCCCTACAATAATACTACCCTGTATTCTATCATATCATAATGGAATGAAATTAGAAATCAATGATAAAATAAAAAATAGAAGCTACACCAACACCTGGAGACTAAATAATATACTATTGAATGAACAATGGACAGCAGAAGACATCAGAGAGGAAGTTAAAAATTCTTAGAAGTAAATGAGAATACTGATACAACATATTAAAATCTCTGGGACACTATGAAGGCAGTACTAAGAGGAAAGTCCATTGCATGGAGTTCATTTCTTAAAAGAAGAAAAAGTCAACAAATAAATGATATAACATTACATCTCAAAGCCCTAGAAAAAAAGAAGAACAACTCAACACCAAAAGTAGTAGAAGACAGGAATAATTAAAATAAGAGCTGAAATCAATGAAATTGAAACTAAAAAAAAAAAAAAACAATTGAAAAAAATTTACAAAACCGAAAGTTGTTTCTTTGAAAAAATAAACAAAATGGATATACCCTTAGCCACACTAACAAAGAGAAGACAGAAATCTCAAATTATTAAAATCTGTGATGTAAAAAGAAATATCACAATGACACTACTGAAATACAGACGATAATTAGGAACTATTTTGAAAAATTACACTTCAATAAACTAGAAAATATCAAAGACATTGAGAAATTTCTAGAGCCATATGATCTACCCAAACTGAATCAGGATGATATACACACATTGAACAGATCAATTTCAAGCAATGAAATAGATGCCATCAAAAGCCTACTAACCAAGAAAAGCCCAGAACCAGACAGATTCACAGTGATTTCTACAAGACCTTCAAAGAAGAACTAATACCAATGCTCCTCAAATTATTCCATGAAATAGAAAAAGAGGGAACACTTCCAAACTCATTCTATGAGGCCAGTGTCACTGATTCCAAAACTAGACAAAGACACATCAAGGAAAGAAAACTTCAGACCAATATCTCTAAGAAACATTGATGCAAAAATTCTCAGTAAAATTCTGGCAAATCGAACATAAAAACATCAAAAAAGCACCACAATTAAATGGGGTTCACCCCAGAAACACAACGTTGGTTCAACATATGGAAATCAATAAATGTAATCCATCACATCAATAGAATTAAAGAATCATATGATCATCTCTATAGATGCGGAAAAAGCATTTGACAAAATACAGAACCCCTTCATGTTCAAAACACTAGAAAAAATAGGGATAAATAGGAACATATCTCAACACTGTAAAAGCTATTTATGCTAAGCCCTAAGCCAACATCATTCTAAATGGAGAAAAATTAAAGGCATTCTCTTTAAAACCTGAAACAAGACAGGGATGCCCTCTTTCACCACTTCTATTTAACACAGTCCTTGAAACTTTAGCCAGAACAAATAGACATATGAAAGAAATTAAAGGGATACAAACAGGAAAAGAAGAACTCAAACTATCATTATTTGCTGACGACATGATTCTGTGCTTAGAAGATCCGAAAAATTCCACCAGAAAACTTCTAGAACAAATAAATGAATTCAGCAAAGTAGCAGGATATAAAATCAACACCTATAAATCAAATGCACTTCTTTATATCAGTGACAAATCCTCTAAAAGAGAAATTAGGAAAACTACCCCATTTACAATAACTTCCAAAAAATAAAACTTGGGAATCAACCTAACAAAAGAAGTGAAAGACCTTTACAATCAAAACTACAGAACGCTAAAGAAAGAAATTAAAGAAGACCTTAGAAGATGGAAAGATCTCCCATGTTCTTGGATAGGCAGAAAAAATAGGGATAAGTAGGAACGTATCTCAACGATGTAAAAGTTGTCTATGCTAAGCCCAAGGCCAACATCATTCTAAATGGAGAAAAATTGAAAGCATTTCCTCTAAAAACTGGAACAAGACAGAGATGCCCTCTTTCACCACTTCTTTTTAACACAGTCCTTGAAACTCTAGCCATTTATATACAAATAAATGACCACACTACCAAAAAGCACTATACAGATTTAATGCAATTCCAGTCAAAATCCCAACGACAGTCTCAATTGAAAGAAGAAGCAATTATGAAATTCATCTGGAAAAATAAGAGACCCAGTCAAAGCAATCCTTAGAAAAAAAGAGTGAAGCAGGAAATATCATAATACCAGACCTTAAAATCACAAGAAATAAAATCAAGAATCAATAAATGGGGGGCTGGGGCTGTAGCTCAGTGGTAGAGCATTTGCCTCGCACATGTGAGGCACTGGGTTAGAGCCTCAGTGCCACATTAAAAAAAAAAAAAACAATTTAATAAAACAAAGATATTGTGTGTTTATCTACAACTAAAAAATATTTTAAATTTTTTTTAAAAAAGAGTCAATAAATGGGATGGATTCAAATTAAAAAGCTTCTTCTCGGCAAAAGAAACAATCAGGGAAGTGAAGAGAGAGCATAACAAATGTGAGTAAATTTTTACCATGCGTGCACATCAGATAAAGCACTAATCTCAAGGATATATACAGAACTCAAAAAACTTAACACCAAAAAAACAAATAACCCAATCAATAAATAAGCTAAGGAACTGAACAGACATTCTCTGAAGATATACAATCAATCAACAAATATATGAAAAAAAATATTCAACATCTCTAGTAATTAGAGAAATGCAAATCAAAATTACTCTTAAGATTTCATCTTATCCCAGTCAGAATGGCAGTTAATAAGAATGCAAGCAAMAGTAAGTGTTGCAAGGATCTGGGGGGAAAGGCACACTCTTACATTGCTGGAGGGACTGCAAATTGGTGCAACCAATCTGGATAAGCAATCATATTGCTTAATATGAAGATTCCTTAGAAAACTTGGAATAGAACCACCATTTGACCCAGCTATCCCACTCCTCCTTCTATACCCCAAAGGACTTAAAAACAGCATACTACAATGATGAAGCCACATCAATGTTTATAGCAGCACAATTCACAATAGCTAAACTGTGGAATCAACCTAGACGTCCTTCAATAGATGAATGGATAAAGAAACTGTGGTATATATACACAATGGAATATTACTCATATAAAATCATGGCATTGGAAGGTAAATGGATGGAGATGGAGAATATACTAAGTAAGCCAATACCCCAAAACCAAAGGCTGAATGTTCTCTGATAAGTGGATGCTGATCCACATTGGGGGGGGGGGGGACTTTGTATAGGGCAAAGGGGAGGGAGGGCAAGGGAGAGGGCATAGGGGTAGGAAAGATGGTGGAATGAGACAGTCATCATTACCCTAGGAACATGTATGATGACACAAATGGTCATCACAACCAGAGAAATGAAAAATTGTGCTTTGTTTGTGTTCTATGAATCGGAATGCATTCTGCTATCATGTATAACTAATTAGAACAAATTAATTAATTAATTTTAAAAAAAGAAGTTTGGTACAGTCCCAATCAGGCTAACAAAGTTTTAAGGGCCCTATCTTTTCACCACAAAGGGGGTTATAGTGACAAATTGTTCTCCATTCTAAGGTTTTACAGGCTTACTTTTTTCCTCCTCATCCACTCCTTGCTACAGGTCACCTGGCACCTGGGGTTTGATCTTCAGTTGGAAAAACTGGTCCAGTAGAATCTTCCATTCGACTTTTGCCTCTTTGGAACCTTTCTCCTGAGGTAGGAATTTTAGGGTAAAGAGAGAGATACTGAGTCTTAAAGGAAACACCTATGATCCATTGATATGCAGAAAGCACTAAGGAATAATGTAATTTCTGACCTATATGTTCTTGGCCCATGCCCATGTAAAATGAGGGAAATGCACAAGTGCAGGGAAGACTAGCACAAAATTATGTAACTCCACCTTGGTCCACCTCTACTCCAGTCCCTAGCATAGCCTGTATATGTATGTGTGTGTGTGTGTGTGTGTGTATATATATATATATATATATATATATATATATATATATATATATATTAAATATCACACCAATGGGTTTCTGTTTCTCCCTCTGGAGATAGCCCACATTCTTCCTTAAATACTATTCCTTGCTTTTCCCCAAAGGCAACTCTCTTGAGATTCCCCCATTTCCCCTGGAATGTATCTACTCTCCTAAATAATCTTCTTTCTGTGCCTTTGACTGGCACATATTGAAGTTCTTTGTCATCAATTATGCCAAAGAACCCCACTAGACCTGAGTCAAATTCCCCCTCCCCTCTGGAAACTCCTCAGACACTTTCCGACATCTTGAGAGAAACCTTTTCTCCCATGACACTCTTTTCCTTTCAATGGGTCTCACCTGGGATTGGGGAAGTGGTACTGTAGAGACATATAGAGTTGGTCAATAAGTCAATCACTTGCCTTCACTGGCATGGTGCAGTGGCATTTTGCTGTTCCTAGTACTCAGGAATAATGAGTCTTCCTGAGTAGCAATGACAAAACAAATTTAGATGAGAAGGTATGGGGAGATGTTCAGACACAGAAAAGATGGAAAATAGGGATTTCACTGTGGAGGTAATGAAACTTTAGTTTCTGTGTTCTATGAATCGGAATGCATTCTGCTATCATGTATAACTAATTAGAACAAATAAATAGATGTAATGTATTTAATGGTATTTAATGTAGATGGCCCCTTTTAAAAACCTTAATGTTTCACGTTTGTACTTGTAAAATTGGCAAAAAAGGAAATGTAACTTTACCATTTACCTGGAATAAAAGCAGATGAATCATAATCTTCAATATTTTAAGAGTTCCTGAAAAAGAAGCTTAAAAGTTCAGTCTTCTGCCTGTGGTAAATCTGAATTTTAGAAATGTTGACTAACATTTATTGACAATGTTTTGTCTACCATACTCTGTTCTGAACTCTGTACATGAATTATTTCATTTGATTCACCAACTAGCCTAGGAAGTAGAAACTTTTTTATCACCTTCAATTTACCTAGGAGGAAATAAACTAAAGAGAGGGCTATTAAGTCACAGTTAGTGGCAAATGCAGTCTGAATCCAGAATCATTTCCGCACATACCAGCAACACTGGAAGTTGCTGTTTTCAACAGAGCTTACTCAATTCAAGCAATTTAACACAAGTATCTCCTGAGTGCCTTCTCTGTGCAGGTTATCCTTGTGAAAATCAAGATAAAGAGATAATTCACGGCAAAGCACTTTGGAGCAATCTTTGTATTTTAAATGTAAAAGAATAACCAGTAAATGCATATTTCTAATTTATCAAATCCAAAAGGATGAAAAGAAAAATTTTACAGGAGAGCTAAATATTTTTCTCTTAGGTAAAAAAAAATGTACATATATGTATGTGTGTGTGTGTGTGTGTATGTGTGTGTATAAATTGAGGCATTTACATTTCCCCCACAAGTGTAATACTATAATGGGAGATAAATCATTATACTATGATAATTGTAATGGATGAAAAGTCAAGGCATCCTTGGAAACCCAATTCAGCCCTAGGCCATCATCATAAGATATAAGATATTTCCTGTCCAGAACATTCTATGCATGTCTTTGTGAAAGGTTAATAAAATAGGTACTTGTCACTCTGTTTTTCTATATGCTTAACAGAACACTGTTGAAATCTTGTTCCCAGGATGTGTTGTCCCCAACTGTGAACTGTTTGCTAATCTTGTTCCCAGGATGTGTTGTCCCCAACTGTGAACTGTTTGCTAATCTTGTTTCCAGAATGTGCTGTCCCAAACTGCCAAACTTCAGGATACACTCCCTCACTCAGTTGCAGGCAAACTGCTCATTCGCCCTGACCTGTCAATGAACTACCCTTCCTGCCTCTCCAAGAAAAATATATAAGCTCTGCTCAAGCTGTTCTCAGGGCTCCATCTCTCTTTGCTATAGAGAGCTCTGGGCCCTAGCATGCTGGTCTCCAAATAAACCCTCCCTTCTGCTGTTGCATAAGACAGTCTCTTGTGGTCTCTTTCTCCGACCTTTCGCCAGACCCTTACATTTGTTCTTGCCACTACATACTGAAACTGTTTCTTACTTACCAGCCTTCCCAGTCCATAGGTCTGTCCAAACTAAGTTGTACTGATCATCTGCATACATCCTTCATCTAATATACCACCCAATATATAGGTTTTCCTGAAATCTCTGAATAACACCTGAGGGTGACAGAAATATACTTTTACCTCAAGTGCTGGGGATAGAATCTCATTCTTACATGCTAGACAAGTGTTCTATCACTGAGCTACATCCCCAGCCCAAAGATATGTATTTTTAATAATTGTAACTTTGACAAAATCTTAAGGTGAATAGATTTTAACAGCAGTTTTTGCTTTGAGTCAGAATAGAAGTCTTTCAGAATTAGAATGCCAGAAGCCTGATTATTATGGATGTTTTTAAGTTCCACAATGGACATTCTATATACTGCTCTATATTTGCTCCCATATATTCTTCCCTTTTATCTTTCAAGTCATATCCAAGCAAAGGCTCAAACTCTTATTATATCTTGATTATTTCAAGAACTAATGGACTAGGTATGTCTCACACTCTGTCTTTCTCCACTCATATACATCTGGTATATGCATTCCAGAATAGTATTATGAATGAATTAAACTAATCTTATTCAGTAATAACTTTCCATTGTTCTCCCTTGTCTACCATATAAAAACTCCACTCTTGGATTTCACTATTTGTCATCCAGATTCTGTATATGTATATGTATGTATATTGTGTGTGTGCATGTGTGCATATAATATACATATATGTGTGTATATATATATATATATATATAATTTTTATTTTTTTAAATTTTTTTTTTCCTGTCCTATGCTAAGCCCAAATCACAGTAAGCAAAAGTGTCAACAGCTCCCACACAAACCCTGTACTTTTCTTGTTCTTGGCTCTTTCCTCTGCGAAACTGATTTTTTTCTTTTTTGGGGTTGGGTGGGGTGGGGGAGGGGTACTGAACCCAGGAGTGCTATACCACTGAACTACATTCCCAGATTTATTTTGAGTCAGGTTCATATTAAGTTGCTTAGGGCCTTTTTAAGTTGCTGTAGCCAGCCTTGAACTTGTGATCCTCCTGCTTCAGCCTCTCAAGTTGTTGGAATTACAGGCATGTAGTACCACACCCGGCTCTACCACCACACTAATTTTCTTGATGCATTCAAGGGAGAATATATTTGTTGTAGCAACAGATGCATATTTTGTTTTCTATTACCTTGCATATTTTTTTTCTTACAGAGATGAGGATTTGGAATAATATAATGATCAATATAATAACAGGGTTTCCTAAAAAGTCCTTATCTTTAAATCTACTTTCAAACTTCATAAGCAATAATTAGTTTGCAATTATTAATAATTTAAAAGATAGTAATTGGCCTAGGATTTTTGGATATTATTCCAAAATGCAGTTAAATATTTAATCAAATACAATAAAAATCTTAAAAATAGTTGTAAAGAAAAATAAATAAAACTAGGAAAAAACCCAACATTAGTACAATTGGAGACAGTACAGAAAGGAATGAATTTATTGATCAATGTAAGAATTAAAAATATTTAAAAAGAGAAGCAGTTCCAAAAAAAGGAAATGAAAACTCAGAAAAAATATACTCAAAGTTCTTCTCAGGAAATGTTACAGAAATTCTGAATACTATTTTTAGATGATACATAAAAGAAAAAGAAAAACCAAATATTCAAAATTCCAAACAATCTCAGCCCTTGATATTCAGGGCATCCAGAAGAAGAGACACACCCTAAATCATAGCTTAGGAATAGCTTCTCAAATATTCACTTTACCATGATTACATTCAGATGAGTGCTATCCAAGAGCTATGGTACACAAAAGTAAAGACAGGAGGGAATTTTCTCTCTCTTCCCTTCCCCACACCTTTGCCCTATAGCCTGGAAAAGCCTCAGTGGATCTACCCAGGCCCTTAGTAAAAGGATCCAGTGAACCAGCAAACTGCAGACAAATCAAGACAATGCAGATCTAGAACAAGACTTTGGTTCAGAATATTCACTGGTTATCTTTCTGGCATTAGGAAAATAAGGTTGCAGGTCTTCTTGTGACATTTCTCATCAGACCAGCTCTTCCAGTTCTACTGAGGACCCTGCTCTAGTCTGAGAGCCAACACTGCTATCAACACATATGCAAGAGCTCAACATTTCAATCTAATCCACAATTCATCTAGAGCCAAAGAGCTCACAATGGAAACACTCTACACTGATTGCAGTTGCACACTAACCCCCATGCCAGAATATCAAGTGTGGGTGCTATTCCTTAAGGAGGCTTCGAGAGATCAGCATCCTCATCACTTCATTGCTACCTGCAAAACAAGAGAATAAAGAAAGGATTTAGTAGCAGCAGGTAGTGGTAGACTTAAATTAGAATCATTTCTGTCCCTAGGAGGGATGAGGTTATCATTAATTTCTCTCTAAAATTCAAAGAAATGACAAAAAATGAGAAATAATATTTACTTTTCAAAATACCTCTTCTGATGATAAAAATGCTTTTATCAAATTTCAAAAGGTAGAATAAAAATAGTATTCTAATTTTTAAAAAGTATCTATGAAAGCATATGAAAAGTTCATAAAAAGATATACCAAAACACTAACTCTAGATGTAGAAATACAAGTGATCTTTTCCGTTTTCTTTTCACATATCTTATAAATTTTCAACAATAAACACACACTTCTTTAGTAATCAGAAAAAGGAGCTTTAAAAGGAAAGATTTTCCCTGAAAGGAAGGGATCAATTTTTTGCTTCACTTTTAGCAGTGGCCTTTAATGCAAAGAGAAATAAAAATTCTCTTGAGTAATGAATATACACAATCTCAAAGTCAAATCTAAAATTTTTGATTTAGTCAATAATTCATGACAAAAGTGATAAAGTAAACTGTGCTCTAATTTCTCTATAAGTAGATGATGGTATGACCTGATATAAATGTTACTTGATTTTTCCCACTTAAAATAGCAGGATTAAAAGACAGAATGAAAGTAAATTTTGCACACTCATAAAACTCTAGTGAATGTAATTTTAGAACTAGGGACTGTGTTCAGTAAGCATATGCTAGAGATAGGTGGGTAGTAAAAAGTGGCAGGCTAACCTTTAGAATCCTATAGTTTAGACATAACATCAGAGCAGTGGGGTTCAGTGTAGTTTCCTCAATAGGAACAGCAGCCACATTTGAAAACTTGTTAGAAATGCCAATTTTAGGCCCAAGCTAAACCCACTAGAGCAGACACTCTGGGGTTAGAGCCCAGCAACCTGTTTTTAAAAAGTCCTCCAGAGGATCTGATGCCTGCTCAGGTTTGTGAAAGATGCTCTGAAAGAATCAAGGGTGCTAGTGCTCATAGGCTTCTCCTAGGTCATAATTAAAGCAACCCCCACACTGTTTTGCTGAAAGTCACTTATAGAGCCTCATCTACTTTTCCTACAGTATGACAGCCCCAGTTACCTAGCTGCAATAAGAGCCCTGTCGCTTTAGGACTTATATAGCAGTTGTAGAGTGGAGAAAACCATGCTCTAAGCCTGACTCCACCAGCTTACATGTTCTCCAGAGAGAAAGTCTGTGGCTACCAAGAAGATACCATATACCAACAATTTATTTTAATGAAAAATTCACTGCCAAATTTGATACAGACATCTTTCAGACCATGTGATAGTCAATTTGTAGAGTTGCTGGTGATCACACCGGTTCACACATATGCCTTGTAAATTATTGTACAGAGTTCTGGGATCCCTGAGGACCAGGTCCTTTATAACAGTAAAGAGGAGCCATTGATACAGTTTTCAATGGGATTTCTCATATGCTATCTCAGTTTGAACCTTCTCTCAAATCTACAAAGAAAAAAAGGGAAGCAGAGTGATCTGATGTCTTACCCATGGAGACAAAACATCTGCTATCTCCCAGGCTAGTGCCCTTTCTAATGCACAAACAAGTTACTTCCAAAGCAGGATTGAGGAAAGGAAGGAAGAAGAAATCCAAAAGACAAGGCCTGATGGGAACCTGAGAACTAGTCAGTATAAAGTCTAGAAAGCACTGATCCTATAACTTTTCTGAAAGGAAGAGAATAACCTTCTGCAATTTTTACCTTCTAGGATTTGGTGAACCCTGGAGTCCCGCATAAACTGCTGAACAGCATAATCCTTCAAGTAGCCGTAGCCTCCATGCATCTGTAAGGCTTGGTTGCAGATCTGCAGGGACCAGAACCAGCTGTCTTTGATTCCAGGAAGACTGAGGAATAGTTGGCTTCCCTACCCACCCTAGTCCCCAATATGGCAGCCTACAGTAAACTCATAAGAGGAAGAACAACCCACAGCTAGCCACCCACACCCAAAAAGGGGCTCTGTAGAGACAGAGACAACAAGGAAATCCACATATTGAATTTGTCAGTTCTCAACAATCAAAACTCACAAAACTTTTTCATTTATTTATCACGTGTGGGGGAGAAACTGCCCACAACCATTTGGACCAGATTATAGGAATTTCAGGTATCACCTAGTGGCAATGCAGCTCACTGTAGAAATTTCTTTGCCCTTGACCTTGTAAACATGGTAATTAGTGCTAAAATCTGAGACAGCAGGGCTGGGTTGCTCTGAATCTTCCAAAGGTTCAGTGCATCTGCAACAGTGTTCTTTGACAGTGACATAATTAAGTGAAGACTAAAAAGCCAGTTACAAAAGCTCCCATGCAGGCCTTTCACAAGCTAATTTATATACTTAAGTCCAGACGTGATTCTTGCAGCATCCCAAGAGAGCTAGGTTTCAGAGCTGACTTATGATTTCAACATTCCTGTGCCTAGTAAATACTCCCTGTTCCATCCCAAGAGGGCCAGATGGCCTATCACTTACGGCAAAGCATTCGTCTGTTGCAAAGAACTTAGCCATGGAGCAGAGAGCCACTGCATCTTCCCGCTCCTCCTCCAGAGCAACTGCGGCAGTACGGACAAGCAGCCGTGAGGCAACCAGCCTTGTTGCCATATTTGCTAACTGGAATTGCAGGAACTATAGCAACAGACAAGATAGAGGGGCTTAGATGGGCACCTGATCTGTGACCCTTGATAAGAAATCTCTAATTAGGTGACTTTTCTAAATAATTCGATGTTTCAAAGTCTCCTACCTCCTCTATGAAAACTTACTGTTTTACAAGGTCTATGTCTACTTTTGCTTGCCCTGCATTTTGGTACTACTATCTCCTAAACAGGATCCTTGGTAACAAAAATGCCAAGTTCTGGTTAAGATAGTTTCTGGCTCCATGAGGTAATCATGGCCTCCCTCTCCTACAGAATGTGGGCCCTAGAATGGTTCAAAAGAGTGGAAGGAAATGCAAAGTCACCTGGGACCTTACCTGGTTACTGGCCAGAGGTGCTCCAAACTGCTTCCGGACTTTCAGGTGATCTCGAGTGAGGATGACAGAAGCATGAGCAGCTCCCAGAGAGCAGGAAGCTGGAGGAAGTAGTGAGAAAGTTCCAACTGAGCCTAAGTACAATGCTGCTGGCCCAGGTCTTCTCCCTGCTCCACATTTTCTTCTCCTTGCCTTCAGAAATACCAAGGTACCACAAGAAATCAAACACGCTCAGAAGTAAGTAGGCAAGGAAAACTTTACTTCTGCCAGAAGGGCATGTTATCCAGCCTGGTTAGCAAGCATACCTGGGCTGGCAATCCACTTGCTTTTATCCCTAATGCAGTGCTCCCTCTTGCCCTCATAAGAAGAGCTTAGGGTCACAATCTATTAGATTGGCTAATTTTAAAATTGGGGTAGACAAAGGGAAGGGCTAGAATTAAAATGGCTTTGATTGGATCATTCATCCCCAATAAGGCTAAATACTATATTCTGAAAATGGACCATCAAACTTTCTATTTCTCACTCTCACCAATGTTGATCCGTCCTCCGTTCAGTCCTTTCATGGCCATAAGGAAGCCCTGCCCCTCACTCCCAATTCTGTTGGCCACAGGGACAGCACAGTCTTCGAAAATCACGGCACGAGTTGGCTGGGAGTTCCATCCCACCTGGCAAAAATCAAGGACTAGGTGGCTGCCCAACAATCCACCACACAGGGTGGGCCTCCCTGTAGACAGAAGCCTGTGAAACATGGGGTCCAGCACCCTGAGACTTAGACCATGAGAATGTAAAATGAGGAAAAAGAAAAAGTTCAGATTTAAAGGCCTGTCAACACTCAAAAAGATGCTTATTTCAGCAAAACATTTTTTTAACATATTTAAAGAATCAACTTTTTAATGTCTACCCTACTACACTACCATATCCACAAACACTCTCATCATAACTTCTCATAGGATCAGGACAGGATTTGTCCTCAGTTTTGGTGTCTCCGTGAATATGCTCTTTTATAAAAACAGACTACATTTATTTGGACAAGTTTATTTAACTTTCAAAGACCTTAATAACAGTCATATTTCTTTTAGAAGTTTAGTGTTCCTGAAAGATGCTAAAATTAGAGGGAAGAATACCATGCACTGTATTGGCAACCCCTGGTCTAGCATTTAGCTGCAGAGAAATCATGTGATGTCCTGGCATCAGCTCGTGAGAGCCTGGACTTTTTTCTTAACCTAGCATTCTGTGATATCACAATGGTGGCTTAACACCAGTCACGATGAAGTATTTATATCACAGGAATCAGCAAAAACTACAAATATGAATTGCTTTTTGTTTTTCCCGGAGAGTTGGTTTACTAGGGTAACACTGGATATGTGAGTCATAAGCCCAGAGCAAATTTTGAATACTTGTCCATGTCATGCAACTACTTAGTTTCATTTTTCATCTTTTGGACAAATTACTTGATTTTTCCCATGGAAAATATAGAAGTTGGGCTAGAAAGTCAAAAGAACCTCTTTCTTCAACCAAATCTCATTCAGATATTTCACATATAAATATGACCCTTGGGCTGTGGTTGTGGCTCAGAGGTAGAGCACTTGCCTAGCATGCGTGAGGCACTGGGTTCAATCCTCAGCACCACATAAAAATAAAATGAAGATATTGTGACTACCTAAAACTAAAGTAAATAAATAAATATTAAAAATAAATAAATAAATAAATAAATAAGGCCCTCACTACTCAATCTCCTTCATCTCCTCAACTAGGTACTCGAAGACTTCAACTTTGAGGCTTAATGGGGCAGATTATGAAAACCATATGCCATATAAAATACCCAGGTTCCTTTCTGTCTCTGAAAACACCATTGGTTTTATCTCATTTCCTCATTTAAACACATTCAGCTCTCTTTAGTTGATAAGATAAACATTTTACATTAGATTGTTGTCATTTCCTAAGCCTTATGAAGGTCTTCTAATATTTGGGGCTATCCTGTTCTTATCTCTACTTCAGCAGCTGACCTGTATCTGTGCTTTTGGGTTTTCATAATTCATCTCTTTCTACTGGGACTTCTCTTTATTCCCAACCACCATCAAAGCTTAGCTTAAAGGAAGGTTTCTGAGGCTTCCTAGTCACCCAAATCATCACTAAGCTTGCTTTCTTTAAGCTCCTTTGAAACCTTCTAATACTGACTGAAATGTACTTTATCTCCTTGAACAGAATAGAAATACCTAAAGGAAATAACCTAACAAAAAGGTTAATGGTAACCACCTATATAATCCTAGCTGCTTGGGCTGAGGCAAAAGGATTACAAATTCAAGGTCAGTCTTGGCAACTGACCATGTCTCAAAATAAAAAAATAAAAAGGGCTGAGGATGTAGCTCAGTGATAAAACACCTCTGGGTTCAATTCCCAGTAACAGGGGAAAAAAAAAAAAAAGAATGTAACAGAAAATTCTGACCTAAGAATATCTAATTACTAAAGAACCCATAAAATAGCTGCTACCTCTTAACTCCTTACAGTGAAAAGATCTACCTTCTTCTCCGATGCATACAGCAATCCTCTTCTAATCCTATCAGTCCCAGAAAAGTAGCAGCTAGTGAGGACAGGTCATTCCACTCTACATTTTGGAGAACCCTGAATACTTGGACCATTAGTTACTACCACAGACCAATCCTGCTCAGACTTGACTCCTCTTGTGTATATTATCTTATTACCCTCTTACAAAAATTCTCTCATCCACTCCTCCACGATAAAACTACATAAGACCTTAAAATAATTAAGTCTAAGATAAAGCTAATCTTTATTGCTCTTTCATCAAATTAATGCAAAACTGGAAGTTCAAAACTATCAGCAATACAGTGTGTTAAATATGCTAAGTGAAATCATGTTTTTGTAGGAAAGATTAACAAGAAGCAAAGAAAGAAAAAGGCCTATGGCTTAGGCCACCAAAACAGCCTAAAGAACGATGGGGAGCTGAATACCTTCTTATCCTGGCCCACCATACTTTGATTACATCTCCAACTTCATCTGCATCATCCTTTTCATACTCACTACACTCCGGCCATACCAATTTTTTCTTTTTTGTTCCTTCAAGTAGGCTAATCTTATTCCTAACTCAAGCCCTTTGTATCTGCTATTGCTGTTGCCCAGAATTCTTCTCAGAGATGGTCCTTCTAACACTTGAGATCTCATCTTTAATGTTATGGCCTCAAAGAGTCTGTCCCTGTGTAATAAAGCTCTTCCTCGGTTAGGGTGGGGTCACTCTGTTGTATTTCCTTCAAAATGTTTAGCACTAAATTAGGAAAGTACCTCATTTGTGTGACTGGTGCTTACTTAAATGTAAATTTCACAGGGCAAAACATGTCTGTCTTGCTTACTGAGGTACTCCTCCTATAAGTTAGAAGAAGACACACAATGGGTACACACGAGTTGTCTAATGAAAGAAGTCCTTTTTAATTTCCTACTTATACTTAAAAATATATAACACAAAACTAATAAAAAAAACGATAAAAAATATGTATGCTTAAAGGTGACCAGCACAAAAATGAAGGGGTAATAAGATACACTCTTTGCTTATTGAACTTCTCTGTAAATTTTTTCAAAGTACTAAACTCGTTAGTTTGGTGTTCTGCCAACATACAGCACAAATATTGCATGGATACTACCAATCATCACTATCTTTATAAGCACAAATATCTAAATCAGTATAACTTGATTATGTAGAACTATATCAGACTATAAAAAACAGACATTTCTAGGACTGAGAAATTCTATAGCTACACATCTTATATAACATATATAAACTCTTTACATTATATAGAGTTTATATAGAAATAGATTTTATAATAGGTATCTAGCCAATGCCTGTTATGCTACAAAAGGTGGGAGGTTAATGCTCATAACTTTTGACAGTTACAAAGGGTCAAGAAAGGATCCTGCAGGAAAATATGGAAACCCTAGAAGAAGTGAGAGAGAAGTATATTCAGGGACCATTTCATAACTAACATCTCCCCAAAAGTCCTAACAAAAATAGTACCAACTAGAGTTAGAGAAGCTGTTTTTGACAACCTAGGCTAAAAAATTTGAATCGATCTCACCTTTAGAGTTATCACAAGACCTCTGTTCATGGCCTGGCTATGAAGTTTCTTAATCCTAGGAGTACCTTATTTTTCAAAGTACCTATGGAAACACTGTCCTTAGAATACCCAAAATCTCTTCAATGAGTTTCACTTTATTTAAATAAGAAAAGTGGCCCATATGCTTTTCATTTCTAAGATTTTTATTCAACATTAGATCCTCAACAAACAGCAGCAAAAGATAAGAGCTGGATAAGAAATATAAGCCAAAAGCACAGGCAGGAGAGGTGATGGGATGCTAATAGGCTAGCCTGTAACTAATTGACAAATGTCACTTTCCCCAGAAACTTAAATGTTTTTTTTTAAAAAATGCCCTATTCTATTTTATATGCCCCTGTCAAAATCCTAATAGAAGCAACTGCTTCAAAGGCAAGTTACCAAGTAGGTGAATCTATTTCATAAAATAAGGCAGAGGTTCATCTGGCAGGTGATGGAGCCTCATAATTTGAATTGCTTCCTGTCCAATAATCACTCACCTTTTTCTCCTTCTTGCCAAAGCTGAGGCCAGGGGTCCCTTTCTCAACAACTATGCATGAGATGCCCTTTGGGCCTGATCCTCCAGTTCGGCACATGACTACGTAGATGTCAGATTCACCACCTCCACTGATGAAGGCCTGTGGGATTGGAGAAGGGGGAGAATTGGGATAAGGGGATACAAGAGTTCTGAATCTAACATCCGGAAAACAATGTGAGTCCTCCCAAAAATAGAACACACAGGTATGGCACAGAGACTGAGGAGGGATTTAGTTGAAAAGAATATGAAAAGGAGAAAGAAAAAGGAATGAAATCATCTGGAATTTGATAGGAAGCAGCAAACAGTGAAGGTGAAGAAAGAGAAATGGGTCAAAGTTTATCTATCCAACATGTAAAAATGCATGGGAATATTAACTCATAGACTCAGGAACCAGAGGATATCAGGAGCAAGTTGCTCTAGGAGGACAGCATGCTGGTACCTTGGAGCCATTGAGGATATAATGATCTCCTTGTCGTTTAGCTGAAGTCAAGAGGGATGCAGCATCACTTCCACTTCCTGAGGCAAGATCAAAAGGGGATGATAAAGTATGTAAATTCAAGGGGCCCAGCATGGTTCCATATCCTGGTAAACCATCCTGAGAGAGAAACAGCTCAGCATGCACTACTTTAAAGTTCAGATGGCCAAAGGAATTCTCTGTTCTTGGTGAAAACTGCTTCCACCAAGCAGACTACTTCACCTCTCCCAACACTCTAGCTTGCAGTTAACCTTTTGCAAGAAGGTTCTGGTCTGCAGCAGAAGGGAATCTGACCTAAAGGCCACTAGGTCCTGTGACTTCAGGTTACAGGCTCTTATTATTCCATGGCCAAACTGCTTTGTAAACAGTGGTTAAGTATGTCAATGGGAAAGGAATGTTCAGTGACTACATGAGTCATATCACTCCCAGTTAGTTCTCGCTTGTGGAATGGCAAACTCACCTGGTTCAGTGAGGCAGTATGAAGCAAATTTCTCCATGGTACAGAGCGGTGGGCAAAATCTGTGCCTCTGTTCATCACTTCCAAAGCTATCAATCATCCAGGCACACATGCTGAGTGATATATAAGGAAAGACATTGATGGAAATAAAGACAGAAAAGAAAAGGAAATAGAGTAGGGAGAACAAAGAGCAACGAAACAGAGTTAAGCAGAAGAAAGATGGGAAAAGAAAAGTCATAACCGAGAAGAATCAAATTTAAAATGAAAGGACTAAATTTAAACATATTCTTGGAATATGTACTACTCAAAGATAACCAGGGACAAGATATTTCTCACCTGGATGTGGACACTACATCTAATTAAGTTAACTAAGCCTCTAAAAATCAATCCCATGTACTTCCTATAAAATAATACAGATGAAACTTCAAATTCCTGGAAATTTCATCTGTAGATTGAAGAAAAGGGTGATAGGACTTGCCCACTCTACTGGAGAAGTCTGCTGGTACCAACCTAAACTAGGACTGGAGGGGGCTGGAAGACCTGATACTCTGAGCAATGAAAAAGATAACAGAATCAAGTCCAACAGGAAGTAACAGACCTAGTGTGAACTAACAGTCTAGTTCCTTAAGAGCAATCCACCTACATGATCAATCTTTTCCTTATAAATTTGAAATTCCCCAGTCAATTCACATGAATACCTCACTTTGCTTTCCCAGATTGGGCACTCACTTGTGGATGCTTATGTAGGCTGTGGTGCTGGTGCAGCCTGTAGCCAAGGCTTCAAAGATGACAGAGGTATCAAGCCTTGACAGTCCAGACCCACCGACGTCTGTACGGACATAGACCCCCCCAAAGCCTAGCTGGGCTGCCTTCCGCATCACACCCACAGGGAACACCTCCTACATACAGAAAAAGAGAGCAGGGTTATCAGTAACTGATTCAGAGATGGACTCTCCTTTAGAAGGTATTATGATTAGGTGATCAGGATGTTTGAATTTGGAAGAGTATAGGGCTTCTTTTAATATGTGTCTGTCATCCTACAATAGTATAGGTTAATGTGTGTCCTCTAAGAATTGTTTTCTTAAGATTAACAAGTTTTCCTTTTTAATTAACTATAGAACCCCCTTAGTTTTAAGTATTTGTTCAATAAGAAAGGAAAAAAGGTATCTACAAAATGATCAGATACTGTCTGTGAAAGAAATCACCTATTACCAATCCTCTTACTTGCACTAAAAGCTGGTAACAGACACTGAGCATTTAGGATTATAAGGAGCTGAAGTTAAAGGTTGCTAATGTGGCACATGTTGAAACATCTAGTCATAAGGAAAACTCCTACCTTCTGGTCCCACTCTGCCATATTTGGAGCCATCTCCCGGGCAGCAAAGTCAAAGGCCACTTTCTGAAATTCTTTCTGTTCCTCATTTAGTCCCATGGAAGCTGTGGGCAGAATTGCACATATTCAATTCTAGGATAGGAGTCAGAGAATAGAATCAACAATAAGAAGCACTATGAGGCCAAAAACAGTAAACTTTTTTAGCAATTTCCACACATAGTAGAGCCTTCAACAGCAAGATAATCATATCATTCACCACTAATCCGTTTCCCTGTTGACTCAGATCAACCTAAGACAGTATATAGTAGCTTTCCAAACATCTTTTACCTTAGTCACTCAGTTAAATACATTTGCAGACCTAAAAGAGCTGGAAGCCACAGTGAAAGAAATAGGATAGAAATAAGATGCAAACAATGTCAGAGTGGGAAAAAATTATAAATAAAGACACTGACTGAGCACACATCACCATTTTCTTCCTCCTTTACTCCAAAAGGATCAGCTGACTTTATTTATCTACTACCTACCTACCCTTAAAAAATCTTCTTTATTTCTTCCTCATAAATCCACACTGAAAGAAATGAAGAGCTGGGTGCAGTGGCACACACCTGAAATCCCAGTGGACTTGGGAAGCTGAGGCAGGAGTATTGCAAATTCCAGGCCAGTCTCAATAAGTTTGAGGCCAACTTGGTCAACTTAGTAAGACCTCATCTCAAAATAGAAATTAAAAAGAGCTAGGGATGTAGCTCAGTGGTAAAGCAACCCTGAGTTCAATTCCCAGAACTTTTCACCACTGCCCCCCCTCCCCCCAAATAAAATAAAAGGAAAAAATAAGGGTTTGGGGATGTAGCCCAGTGGTAGAGTACTTGCCTAGCATGCATGAGACCACAGATTTGATCCCCAGCATGCAGCAGCGGCGTGGGGGGTGGGGGGGAATGGTGTACACTTTAAAAAAAAAATTGGGGCTGGTGTTGTGGCTCAGTGGTAATGCACTTGCCTAGCATGTCTGAGGCACTGGGTTCAATTCTCAGAACTGCATAAAAGTAAATGAAATTCCATTTACAACTTAAAAAATAGTTTTAAAATGTTTATTGAGCATCTACTATCTAACAGTTTCAGTGTTACAAAAATAAATATGGTTCATGGTTCAGTCACAAAATGGATAACATAATTAATGATAATGGAAACATTGTATAAAGAGAAGTACTACAGAAGTTTAATTCTAGGCCAGGCACAACAGCACACAATGTAACCCCAGCAACTAAGGAGGCTGAGATAGGAGGATTGCAAGTTAGATGCCAGCCCTGGCAACTTAGTTAGACTGTTTCAAAACAAAACAAAACAAAACAATAAAGGGCTGAGGATATAGCTCAGTGGTTAAAGTGCCTCTGAGTTCAATCCCCAGTACAAGAAAAAAGAATTTTAATCTTAGCAAGAGTTCAATAAATATTAAGAAAACTTCATCTTCTTCTTTGACAGAGTAAATGGTTACTTCCTAAGATAAATAGTTCAAGCAACCAAAGGTTAAAGAAATAGATATGAATTGTTTTCTAAGTAAACAATAGGAAGAGTTTTAAATCATGTACATAAGTAAACACAATACAATAACACATTCTTTTTAGATAAACAACAAATAGTCAATTTTAGAAAAGGAAATGATCAATAAAACGAGAGCACAACTTTGAGAAAAAAAAGAGAAAATCAAGTTAAAAATTAAATAACATGGGTTGGAGTTGTGGCTCAGTGGTAGAGTGCTTGCCTCGAATATGTGAGACACTGGGTTCGATCCCCAGCACCGCATATAAATAAAAAATAAAGGTCCATTGACAAAGACAAGTAAAATAAATAAATAAAAATTTTTTAAAAAATTAAATTACACACAGGAAAATATAGTGACGAAGTAAAAACATATATATATACCTGTATATATATATATGTATGTATATATCTGTATATATATATGTATGTATATGTATATATATACAGATATATATGTGTGTATATATATATTATATATCTCCAGAAAAAAAATACACTATAAAGACAAACAAAAGTCCTCATGAACTTTGCGAGAGTTATTGGGTAGAGTTTAAGGTATCAGCACACTCGATGCACACATACACATAAATGGTAAAGCTACACAGAAAAACAGACCAAATGAGATATGGAAAGGCTTTATAGTATAGTGTTGGGGTTTAAGTGTGCAGAGTTTAGCTCCCTCAGCCTGACACTTTGCAAGAAGCTGTGGCTGTGATTTAGGTCAGCTGAAGGCATGCCTCGCTAGGAG